AAAGCCCTGAACGTGTGGGAAAACGAACTTTCACTGCAGCTCGATTCCTACGCACAAATCATACGCACTCGCAAAACAATAGTTGACTGCAATGAACCCATTTCCGGTGAGACACTCTCCTCACGCGGTTTGTATTGCAACATACATTGGTCCCACGACGAGACAACTGTCACAAAGGATTTAAGAGCATTATGCACACTGGCTGGCTTTGTGGTAGCGGAGCGGGTGCACAGCAGCGAGCGTGACAGCTGACGATCTACAATAGACACAGGTCATTTATGTGAAACATCGATTCCGCTTTTCGGATAGTTTCCCAGTGCATCATCACCCCCCTCCAAAACACTTCGTCTTTACACCGTGCGGCCACTTCCAAAGCACATACCTGATCTATGTTTACAAAGCCAACTCTCTCACACGAGCTACAAACCCCGTTCACAAGGGAACCAAACACATTAGCTCACATCAACTCACACTATGATGAGAGAAGTACAGGGATACGGGAATTCACAAGACAATACACTTTCATCCCCGTGCTTCTAGCACTCAAGTTAACATACCGAATAAAAGACTGGTACATATCCGATACCGAGCGCCTAGATTACATGAAAAGGTTTTTGAGTGAAACAATAAATTCATTACTAGCTCCAGTCATATTTTCCCACACAAAAAACACTTATTCAACAAGACAGGCAAAATAAACTGGAGGCGTCAGTGAATTGGGAACGATGATTCGATCAGGTTTGATGGGTTGTTTGGAGTCATCACCCTAAGCGCCAATATCTCAATAACCGTTGTGAGTTGTAAACAAAATCTTCCGCTTATCAAAATCAATGAATAGAAGGAATAAATAGCAAAATAGTTCCAAGTTCGGGGTGAAGAGCCGTGTTTTATTGAAGGTCCCAAAAGGATCGCAAGATGCATGCACCGATAGAGGAAACAAACAGCTGTTGAAACTATTTATTCTAAATTTCACTGTGGAACACCCAAAGACAAATTATATGATTTTTGTACATAGACGGTTATATGAGAAGACCACGTGGGACTTTTAACCGTGGCGCCTTTAAATACATGTTTCTAGAGTTGTCAACCAGGGAAAAGGTAGAAATGGAGAGCAGTCATTCAGCCAGAGCAATCACATTTGGTTACGAGCGAAGGTTGATCATTGAACGCAAAAAATGATAACAAGCTTAACTATTGGACTGACTAAAACCTAGGTGAATGGATGTGTTTGCGGCGGGGGTCATATCGAAGGTGAAGAACGAGAGAGGTGATTCAGACTGCGTGGTTGCGAAGCGTTTTGTTTGTCACAAATGCTTTCCACTTTCATAACCCGAGACGTTCCCTGAAAATGAAGCGTTTGTTTGTCACAGAGGGTTTGAGGGGTTTGAAAACCCCATTTAGACAGTGAAAACACATTTCTTTAGAAGAATGTGACTTTGGATTATGGGTTTTTAAACAATGATTCTAGCATTTTTACGTTGGGTAAAAGTCGACTTGGGATTAGATTGGTAAGTAATAGGAACTGATGAAAGAAACGTTTGTGATGTATTCGTGATACACTCGATGCCAGTCGAATGGCAAGACAACTGTCTGTTCGAACTACAGATTTTGACAAAGGTTGGGTAGCCACGGACTGGCCCAGTTAACAAAAAGCGTTATCGTTGCTTACATACTTGGTCGACACCGGACATCAACTTCAAGGTTGTCTATCGTGTTCACCTTAACAGATAGAAGGATACTTAGTGGCGCACCTTATGGCGATCGCGGGCAATAGCCGAGGCGATCGGGGTAAGGACGTTGACCTTTGACTTTTGCCATCAAAGTTTTTTGTTTAAAGGAGAAAACAGTGACGGAACTATTTACGATTCTGTCCACTCGGGGAAAATTGATTCCTTTTCCGAACTGCGCTATCAAGTTGAATTTTCGAATATGATTACCTTAGTTTCGGTTTTCTGCTAAGCTTCTGGACATTCCTGCCTAAAAAGCAGTCGAACTTTTGTATCATTACCAGTGAGTCCTCAGTGTCGTATTGAATGTACTATTCTTGAACGCATAGTACAAATACTTTCTCATGTATAAGACGTTTTATTGGATTGACGAAGTCATTTCCTGAGCCAAACATATAGTGAGTTTTCACGATAACTCGGGTGGGAACATTCATCTTCACAGAAACACAAGTGAAGACAGTTCGTCAACCTTCAGGCTAGCAGCGTCAAATTCAGCGTGCAAATTCTCTCCTATTACATAGTGCTATAGTGTTGGGTGACAAAAAAAGTTTGAAGATTTGACTTTCACGTGTAGAAAATGTTCCGTGAAAGCATGGCAAAAGCAATGTGAAGTTCTGGTATCTTAGGTTCATGTTTTCTGAACTTTTATGGGTGTTTAACAACCGGCAATAGTGTCATTAATTTAACGCGTTCTTCG